TAGATCTAGATAGAGTAGTGAAACATATTTAGTATTTAATTTTTTTTAAAATTCAAGCTTCTCATCAGAATTAAACCAATCCAAATATGCCAGGCAATATTCAACTTTATTGTATGAAAACTAGATGTGGGATGAATGTCATTTAACTCTATCCCAAAAAAATATTTAGTTTTAAAATCTCCAGTAGATGTGCTCACTAAAACTGTTAGATCTAATCAATCAAGCACTTATATTTCTCTTTTATGAAATGAAACTAAATGAGTAGACCTATATTCTATGTATAGATCTATGACTTTTGCAATATTTAGAATCTAACTGCACACGTGAGAATATGGGCCACCACAGTGTATTATTTATTGTGAGCACCGGTCTTTTGTATAGGCCTGCTGTAAAACTCTGTGTTACAATCTAAGTTTTTCGCCCTCCTACCTAAAAATTATAATTTATTTCTGATGTTTAAAAAAAATGGGTTATGAATTATCGGAAGGCTGACTTTGGTTCTTAAAATAGCATAAGTTACCTAAACGGGTACCATGGGAAGGCATTGTGCGCTGAGCAATTTGAACTGTACGTACTGCCTTTGGAAATCTGCATCTTGAACAATTCTAGTGCAGAATGCTGTGGCCATGCTGTTTACTGTTCCAAACCCTCCAAAAAAGATAATTATTGTTCCCTCCAGGCCAGTTCCAAAGGATACAGGTCCTGTCCATGACAAAAGATCTAATAATAGATCTAGTGTCTGCAATGTGATGTGAGAGTTTTGAAGAAGAAATTAAAAGTGGAAGAAAAAAACACCTTGACATCTAAGAAGACAATTAATGTCCTGCTGTAATAAATGTACTACGGAATACATGTAACAAAATTAAAAAGACAAAGAAATTACAAAGCTTACTTAATTATTATTAAGTAAGGAAGTGCTAGCTTGACCCTGTCAGGACCACCCTTGAATTTTGTAATGTCCCAAATGTATGTGCCTGACAGAGAAGTATGGACATAATAATACAAAAGAATCAGCAAGAGACAATGCATACAGCAAAACAGTCTAAGAAAGACTGTAACATTCACCCACTTAATTGTAAGAGCCCGTTTCAGTAAAATGCTATTAATCCATGAAAAATGCATTACATGTTTATATATAGGCCTCTGGTGAGTTCGATCTGTCGCTTTGTTTCCCTGTTTTTATCCATATATGCCTAGCCTAGACTACACAAAACGAAATCTGTTTTCTATTTCTACAGTCTGTTGCCTTTTCTCACCAATGCCTATAGGCATATAGATCTATATATGCAATTGCATGCTCTCTTTCTTTCCTCTCCAACTCTTCCCTACCCACAGACCCTGTGCAGGGCTATGTAACTAATTAGTAAAATAAGTAAAAATGTATTATAACTTGGCCTAGATCTAGAATTCAATTTTAAAATCTGTTGTCCTGTTTTCATCAACATGTGTAACCTTTTCTGAAGACCAGAAGAGTATAGAATTGTAGAGGCATTGTTTACAAATGCAACCTTGGCCAGTTCTCTGATTGCGCTAGGCCTAAGCCCCGCTAGACGCGACGCGCTTCGTTTCGATAAGGTCCTAGGCCTAGGCCTAGGCTAGACGCGACGCGCTTCGCTGTCGATACCGCGCCTGGTTATTTTTAGCTCGCGTCTCAGCGGTCACGTTCGCAAATGCACTGTTGTCACGGACCGCGAGGCCTCGTTTCCTGTCTCTATATTTTAGTGTCTCTGGTGTTGTGAAAACTTCAACCTCTACAGCTCAGGCGTCAAAAGATGCTAGAAAATAATAATACGTCCTGAAGTTTCATAATTTATTTTTATACAGAATAACACAGTACACAGCCAGTAGTTTTTATTTCATCGAGTTATAAAAATTGCCTTGTTTTCAGAAGCAAATTTTAATAGTTCTAGTTCTACCGAATCGATTTTCACGCGAATTCAACCATTTTGATGATCTTTCTTTTCCTTTTAAAAAGATGTAGATCTAGGCCTGTCGGATGTGGCAGTGCGAATAACACTGAGTTGTTTAGATCTAGATCTAGATCCATCAAAACACGAGGCTTCGTGGCCGATCACAAAAGTCTACGGAGCTTATCAAGGCCGATTCGCCCTGCTGCGAGCACGTTCACTAAACTGCCTACTAGATAGAATCTACTACCAAATATTCTCTACACGATCTTTGCTACTACTACTACTACTAGGCCTACTAGCCTACATGTACTACTACGAGACAGTACGAGAAAGTGTCACTCAGGCAAAGATAGTGTAACTTTGACTCAGCCACGTAGTGTACACACTTTTTATACCCCAAATTTAACCCGGAAGTCCATTCGGAGGATTTGACCTTTTCACTTGACCAAAGTGTGCCAAAATGGTAGCCTAGCTTTTGCCCCTCCAGTAAGGAAAAATCTGGCCCTCATTCAAACCATTGAGATTGAGCAAAATTTTGCGTATTGTGCTTTGTTATTTACAATATTCATTATGGTATGATTTATAAGTTGTACACTGAGACAAAACCGTACTAAATGAGAAAGGTGCACCATTATAATGAAAGTGGAACGAACTCAGTTGCCTGAAAAGGGTAGTTTGAGCATGTGTGGCCTAAATAAGCTAAACCCCCCTCCCTTACCTTATTTAGGCCATATGTGGCCTAAATAAGCACTCCCTAAAAAGAATCCTCTTGTCAAGACAGTAGATTTAAGCTTTTTATCAGAAAGAATTCTATTTTGAAATTTTTCTGGAGTTCAGTTACTTACCAACAATGAGGCACAGTGCACTGAATGAATTTTTGTACTGGCCCTGCTTGTACAAAAATTGTTTCCACCACGGCAGGTTGCTGGTGTCCTTAACCTCTGAAGGAACATTCTTAAGCTGCTGGACAGCAAACAATGACAAGTAGCCCCACATTGCCATTTGAAACAATCCAAAATATGAAAGGATGCGATAAAAGTTATCATTTTCATAAGAATAGACTAAAGTGTCAGCAATTAATTGTCTCTTCTGATCAAAGGGGCTCTTCATTTTTTTAGAAATGGGAGAAGAATGAAACTCCCGAGGATTTGTTAAAAGTTTGTTTTTCATAGGGCATCTCAATCTGCACCCAAACACAGATACATTTGGCCTACATAGCTGCATGAACTCCACACAAAAAGCTGAAGAATTTGTCGTTGCTGCTTTTAAGAAACTCGAAGACGAAGCACCTGTCGCTTTGCCCTTGTTGACTACGTTGTTGATCTTGAAGTTGAAGAATTTGAGTCTGCTGTTTGTTGATGAAACGTGACCAGATGTAGATCTAGATCTAATTAACTTTCTAAAATTATTAAAACTGTTGGTCGACGGGGAAAAGCATGTCCCTTGAGAAAGCATATTTCGAGAAACTAGTGAAACCATCGACATCATTGAATGCTGGACAAACAATTTATGACCTGTGCGCTGCATAGAGAGTAAGACACTCTACTTTCGGTTTCATTTTGCTAAGAGTAACTCCCCTTGTCTCTCTCTCTCTTTCTCTCAACCAGAGACTCTTAAACTTAAAATTAATTAAATACACTCTGTCTCAACCATAGATGTATACTAAAGGAGATAAACTCTATGATCTCAACCAAGGACTTTAGGCTAGGTTTCGAAAGTGAAGGTTTTCCTTCGTTTCTCTAAAAAAAAAAAAAAAGAAAAGGAAAACTCCGTATCGACAAGTAGTATCGATTAGGCCTAAGGGACTTCCAATATCGAGTATCGAGTATGCTCAAAGATCATACTAGTACATAACAAGATGGGCCACTCACCCAAAAAAGTGTCCGCCGGAAGTTCGCTCTTTGCTTCAGATGGTGCTGCAGTCTATTGCCTTGCGTGCGCAGATCGACTGCTGTTCATCGGCAGTTCGGGTTCGTTCAGTGTGGAGTTTGGACCCTTTTTTGGCTGAGTGGCCCATCTTGTTATGTACTATCTTTGATCTAGCTTGATCAAAGATAGTGAATAACATCATTGGCTTGATCTAGCCAATGATAGTACATAACAAGATGGGCCACTTTTCTCTTTGAGCCTATTAAAAAAGTATCCTCAAAATTTGGTGGCGCCCTCTTCACAAAAGCACACTCTTTGCGAACAGAGTTACCCTACTTGAGTTTTTAAAAATCAAAGTGAAACTAGCAAGTTTTGGGATA